ATTACTGCCAATTCTCTTGTTTGTAATTATGGTTGAAATTTTTTGCGAGGCTTGTTTTGTGATTTAATCCTTGAAAAAATTGAAAGGTAAACTCGTCCATAGCATCCTTATGACTTTTGATTTTTTTTAAAGATATTCCTATCAACTCTGAAGTAAAATTATTAAAAATAGTAACAAGTTTAACAAATTTTAATTTAAAACGTTAGAAAATGCTATATTTCAATATAAAGTAACAAACATCTCAAGTGTGCCCTGCGATATTTCAGATTTTTTTCTAATGGACCGAAAGATCCTTGTTTCTTAAAAATTTTTTACTACTTATAACGTTGCATCAAATCGCAGGAAAATAATCTTTTTTTTTAAATATCAGTAAGGCTTAAACTAAGTTACCCGCCAAATGCCAAAATTTTATTTGTACATTCCCATGAAGTTTTTTTTTCTTTCAGAAATGGAGCAAGAGAACACGTTTTTAAGTTTGAATTTCCAGCACCATAAAATTAAAAATCTAAATGAAAAACATCGTCACCGTTGTTTGATATCATAAGCAGTCAACAACATGTTCTCATCAAAATTGTAATCAGCAAGTCGTACTGCGCGAGCGTAAATAAAATCATCCTCTCTTTCTCCCCCTTGTGCTTATCAGTCTCTCGATCAACGCCATACACCCATCTCTTTCTCCCTCTAACCTTCTTCCTCCCATGCAACATTTCTTTAATCTTTTTCTCTCTCTGCTCAACCCTTTGGTACCTCCTCGTCTGCCCACCCACACGCTCATACTCCAAAAGATTCCCATGACGCTCGGCAAGAAAAGGTAGTAGCCCTGGCGCCTCTTCTTTACGACTTTTGTCCTGCGCTCCGCGGCTAATGGCCGACGCGCTCTCCCGAAAACCTTTTCTGTCGTCTCAAGACGACGACTGCGCCGTTTTACAGTCGTTAAGCGTAATGAGCCACCAATAAAAACCCATCTTGTTTTTAACCCTTTTTTGGTGAGGGGGCTAAGAAAATGGCACGTTTAATCGTTTCTGCTTCGTTGGCTTTTGAGCTGCTTTTTTCTCGTCTTCCACCTCAATTTTACATTCAAGCACGGCAGGACAAACGAGACGCCGGGGATCTCTTTATCCGAGTCAAGTGAGAAGAGTAGCGATGGTCCCTACGTCTTTTGGGCCACTATTCGTCACAGTGATTTATTTTTAATGCTCCGCGTGCTTTTTGAAATCTTCAACTTTTAATCAAACATTAGGTCATGATGGCTTTTTTACTTCAATTGTAAAAAGTTTCTAATGTCCCTGAATTGCGGTTTAAAACCGTCTATTTTTTAACAACTACAAAGATATGTTCCTGAAGATACGTGAAAAAATGGATATAAATCACAGATTTGCACAATCTTCTCATCGTTAAGTGGTTAAAGAAAACTGTTTCCTCGTACAATTATAAGGTTATTATTTTACGCCAAGTAAAATCCTAAGTAAGCTTAATAGCATCGATTTCAACCTAAAATCTTCTGCTTTGTCATCTTATGCAATTGGTCAACTACAAAGATTTATTTCTCAAGAGCTTACACTCTTCAGTCTAATAATCATTCCATTACAAAACTAAACTATATATGAATAAAATTCAACTTCTGAAAAAAAGTTTAACGATAGAGTATATGGTATCGAACTATTACAGAAGCCATGCAATGGTACCCCTGCCCTTGTCACCTGTTAATATGGGATTGTTCTCTATATATTATGTTCTAACAAAAAACATCAATGTATATACAATAATACCGCACGGCACAAGTCTGTTACCACTGTACCGGTGATATCTGCCTGATGGAAAAGAGGGGCGCAGCTTGTCGTCCATTGGCCCGGTAAACTTACAGCTCGCGGCAAAACCGGAAGTGCGGCCGCGAAAGAGGCGTGGCTGGCTCCCCCACCTCCGGCCTCTCCTCCTGCCCGCGCTTGCATTTTCGATCGGATGTATGATGCACACCTAGAGCTTATGCTATACGCGGCATAAACCACCTTTCCCTCACTGAGGGTTTGCTATCTGCTTGTACACGCGTGTGTGGTACTACATGGGGACCGTGGGACGTGCGCAGGGTTCTGTGGTAAATTGAATAATGCATGCGGCTGCGTGTACCATAGCTGTTTAGAGGTTCGTGTGGATAATACCCTGAGAGAGCCAGTACCTAACGGCACGCCTACCTTTGCGCTGCAGGTACTGCTGCACTGCATATACTATTTGCTTACGATTTTTTAGCGCCTCGTGATTGTTTGGGCTATCTAGTAATTTTTATCACCTTCGTCCAAAAAACCGAAACACTTTAATCGGCCCAAAAACTATAATGGACAATTTTACTTTCCAAAGTCGACAAAAGTATATGCTATAATGATAGGCATGAAGTATGACAAAGTGATAAAAGTTTCGTGGTGTGTTCTATTGACTTCTTTACTCACGAGTTGCTGTACTCACAAGTATACGGATTAAAGACTGTTTCGAGCCGATATTTAATGCTTCAAGATTAAATTGGTTACTTGAACATAATTTTTAACTCGAGGTTATAATAGAAATATAAGTTTATAGTTACATGAACACTGATTACAATCTAGTTGTGAAGTAATTAACCAAGGCATAGTTGTAATGAAGGATAGTAGGGATAAAAAATTGAGAGCACCGTATTAATTTGTGTGTTATGTTGTAGATGAATGAGATACAATAGCTTAAACGTGAGACATGCATATTTAGTTAGGCCATAGGGCTACTTGCTTAAAAAACCTCTGTGGATTGTACTTCTCACATGAGATAATCTCGTTTGCCCTTTTATGAACTGTGACCATCGGTCATATAACTACATAAAAATAGACACATTTTTGTTTGTTTGTTACAATGTAAGTTTAAAATTAGGCGCTCATAAATATCAAGCGCACTCGCGCATTAAGTAGGTAATTTTCTGGGAGCTTGCTACGCAGCACATCCCGTACCGTCGCCCGCACCGCAGTCACCGAGCCTAACGCTAGCACTACATGGGAGAATTACAATATGTAACTTGAAGCGACTACTTGTCTCTTTCTCTGGGACATCGGTATCATAAACAAGGACAGCGAAGATTCATATGCCGCCCTAAAACCGAGGTTTTATGTTGCAGCTAGAAGAGAGACCTGGCACTCTAACTTTGACTCCCTTGCTTAGAACTTAGAAGGCTACGAGGCCTCTCTTTCCAATCAAGTTTTTGTTAGCAGTCCATTAGCGTCCTTATTGGTAAAACGGAGTAATTTTGTATAACTGACGTTCAATTTGGATCTCTGTTATGGTCTTGAGAAAACAAGTTTAATGATAATATATAAATTAAACGTATAACTCAATGGTCTTTTTCTATCCCCAATTTCAATTCATAATTATTTGGGTTATTCCTTCACCCTTCCGGGTTCGCTTGATCTGTTAAATCGAGTTAATAGTGACCATCGACCTTCACCATTCCTTGGTGTTGTCCTTCCATGCCCCTTGTTGTTTAATAATTCCAGTGTGTACGTTAAAAGGTAAGATATCGAACGTTACAGAACCAAATAACTAAAGCATTTGTTCTGTGAAGGAGAACTAATGACAACAACAAATGGATGATCGATTCTGTTTGGATGAAATCGAGAGTCAAACTTTGTATCAATCTCAATGGTAAAAAAGACTTGAAGATAGTCTTAGTTATGTGCTTTTATTTTTATTGACTATAAGTACTGTTTTGGGCATCATACAAGGAAGGATAAGATTAGTAAGTAGATAAAACATTGCCATGCTTTAAAAAAAAAAAAAATTAACATCTTTGTGTGATGCATCATCTACCCAATCTTACATCTCTTTCAAAGCTACATATAACATAATATAACACGAATAAAACAGAAACTATGAATAAACAATATTGATACTCAGTTAAGACAAAGTATGTTAAAATTTATACTCATGAGTGATCCAACCCAATTCGAATTAACTCTCGAGTTATATCATGGAGGGCCAAATAATTGACTGCAAATACGAGTTATGGATTTCGTGGAGCAAAATGTTCATCATCTTTTTTTTTAAATTCAAATGTGAAAAATCTGATTCTTTTACATAATTATAAACATTAAAATAAGAGCCTGTCAAATTATAGCATTTTTAAAAATTATAGCAAAAAATGTCAGTTTTCCTAAAAAAAATAAAGTTGTGTAAACTGCACATTTGACTTTGATGACTTAACACATTTATTATGACCATATGAAATTTTTTCTTATTGTACAAATGAATCATCTTAAATTTTCTGAAATAAAATAATACCTACACTAATATTTTTTCAAGTCAATCCTAACAAAATGTGTTCACACATCAAGTCAAAAATAAAATGTTTGTTGCGAAACTTTAGTTGTAGGATATTTTTTACACTTCTACATGCGAAAATTTCACATCTAATTTTAACGCACAATATTAATGAAAATAACAGAAAAGTAAAATTATTTATTTATATCCAAGCTGTACTTGGTGAAATTATTCGTATAACACCTAGGCTGCAACTCTAAGGTATTCAAACACAATTTTGTTACAATTAAGATTTTTGAACTCACCTCAAAGATGCGTTTACACTTGATTATAACTGACTTGTTGTAAAAACTCTGTTTTAATGTTGTATTGAAAAATTCCAAGCAATACCATTGCAGTTAAATTTGTACGACTTTAATAAAATTTATCTATAAAAAAAATGCAAGAGTACTCTACACTGAAACATGTACCTATAAGAGTACTCTACAGTTATTTTTGCAGGTTTTTTTCATCCAGGACACATTTTATAATATGTGTAAAAGTCATTATAGGAATAATATCAATCGAAGTAACTAAAAGCTCGTTAACCAATACAAAAAAAAAAAAAAATTAATCACACTCACTTCCAGATTTCGAAACCAATAATCAATGATCATAAAATCATCTTCAAATTATTCGTGCAACAACCAAAAACACCAAATCTTATCTTTTTTTCGTGTTTTGTTTTGCAGCGTTCTCGAGCTGCGAAAAGAAAAGAGCAGGGACGCAGCGAGGTCACGACGGGGCAAGGAGAACTTTGAGTTCTACGAGCTGGCAAAGATGCTACCCCTGCCCCCAGCCATAACATCCCAGTTGGACAAGGCTTCGATCATAAGGCTCACGATATCGTATCTCAAATTACGGGACTTCTCAGGTCACGGCGATCCTCCATGGGGTCGCGACTTACCACCACCCAACAAATCCGTCAAAGGTGAGTTAACATCTGAAATAATCCATCTTCAATTCTATCCTAGATCCTTGTGGTGTTTGTACACCAGAATACCATTAGACTCAAAGTATAGTACCACAGTTTTTAAAATTCAATGCGTTTCATAAAATATGATTATGACGTCGGTAGTGGAGAGTCATATCAAAAGTACATTCCATCCCTGTAAACATGAGGTATACCTACAGTAGAACCAATCGTCCTTATGAATCCACCGCGAGAGCGAGGGATGGGGAAAACAACAAAGGCACGAGACAAGACGTCACATTTCTTCCCTCAAGTAATCCCCTCTCAAACACATCCATCGAGCCCAGACCCGAATCCAACCTACGGCTAACTAAATCAAGCTAGAACAACATGTACGTACGTAATGCAGAAGCGAAGGGAAGGAAAAAAAGGACTCTGTCGCTAAAAAAATGCGCACTCACGTGGACGGATGGAATCAACGCGAGGGGCGGTGCAGAGCGACGGAGCAAGGAGGCGATTGTCTCCCAACTGTCTGTCAGTCCGAAACTTGTGCCGCACATGCTCGTCAACTCGAGTGCGAGCAAACCAAATTATTCTGTAAATGGCAAATGTATACGTGTACGCGTCGTGTGTATCGACGCGAGGAGCTAGGAGGTTTGGATTCCGACTGTACGTCACGCTAATAACTTACCATTCGGGAATTTTTCTCTCATGTGCGCAGTCCGAGGTATCGAATTCTCTTTACTCTTCATCCAGCTCTCTTATCTCTGTGAACAGTCTACCTTCCAAAGACTCGTTTTGGTGCTTCCCTCTTTCTAAAATGTAATTTACGCGACCGACGCAAATTCAAATCACGGACGTCAATATAATTTTTCCAAGTAGTTTAATCGTGATTACCCCAATGGTAAAAATCATGCGCTTCGTCGTTTTATTGCACGGTTAACGTGTCATTGACACGATGAAGGATGAGAGCAGTAGTTTGTTTCTGCAAATATTCCTTTCGCTAATCCATAGACGCTTGAAGCAGTTTTTGTGATGTAGCAAGAGTTTTTAATCAAGTATAGATACAATCATAATAATATATGCATGTAGCATTATTAATTCACCTTTTCTTCCACTTCTGATGTTGCAATAAATCAGACCTCTAGCTAGTGTATGGCAGGGACGAATCACCGCATGGTAATTCTCATTTGTTCGTCTGTCGTAAGCGCGAACGTAAGCCAGTAACTAAACAGAGGTAATGTATTTTATTGCGCACAGTAGCCAAGGCTCGACGAAACTTACACGACGTGGCTTTAATCGACGATGCGGCTGGAATTTTTACCTTTGACGTTGGAGTTGAGGCTGGAAATAAGTGACGGCGCAATTACGAAAGACTGTGGGGACGTACGCTGGAGCTACTTTTTTTATTAGCTCATGTGAGCTACGAATTTGAAAATCAGTAAAAAAAAAGTAGGTACATGAGTATAAATAGCTTCCTAACAAAGGATACACCTGTTGGATCAAGTTCAGCCATATCTTAGAGATCTGTTGTTACGGAAACGTTGACCTTGAAAAGACCTGTAAATAAAAATTTATATTTTGTTAGTTGATGTTTAAATGCTATTTATAAAATAAAAATTTTGAAAAAGTTTTACCAGCACTTTGCCATTGGCTTCTTAAAGATATTAATACCAGCTCTAACAATTAAAGAGGTTCTCCTTACTTTGATACTAATGTGATCTTTATTAATTATCGTTCATAACAAGATAAATGTTTCTATGTAGTGGAAAGTATTTCTAAAGTCCCTTTATTTTACGTCACAATCCTCTAAATATTCATGAAAATCTACTTGAAACTTACATTTCATTACTTGGTAGTTATAAAATTACTTGTTCATTTAACTATTCTGCTGGAGCAGTAGACAAATTAAATTATGAGCACGTGTTATACAGTAATATTTTATTATAATCACGAACAGCCAGTGTCACAGGCACATCCAAAAGACCTTCAAGTGAAGCTTAAATAAATTTCTTTCAACTCATCAATGACAGCTATCTAATTAAAGGGTTCGATTGCAAAAAAAATCTTTGTAAACTATTTGAACTTTCAAAGATGTTTCATTGCTACTTTATTTTGAAGACCAACACAACACTTCTGATTTATTTGTAATTTCTTAGTTCCCAATGTCTTACTTTCCCCGTATAAAACCCACCCTGCTACAAATGGTAACGCACCCAATCGAGAGCTCCGTCGAAAAAAAACTCTGAAATTCCATGGCAAGGAACACCGATCGTTCAACTACAGACGCGATTCCGTAAAGTCACGAGTGCAGAGCGAAAAAACGAGCAGCGTCAAGTTAACACGCGCGTGAAAAAAAAGTCGAAGAAATGGCCGTAGCAACGGCACGCAGTCCCGACCCTGGCGTGCTCCTGACGTGTTCATCGCGCGCAACAGCGATCGGATATCGCGTACACGAAAAGACATCGGCCGCTATAGACGCGCGGGTACGCCGTTTCGCATCTGCTGCTGAAGCCGCGCTGATGGATCAGACTCTCTCGCTGTAATATGTATGGTGTACGGTAACAATGAAGTCCTTACCGGAGTAGCCGTATACTTTTCATCCAAGCTAGAGATCGAGCGGCTCGTCGGTCCAGCGTGACTGCGATAAGCCTCGGGAATTGCTCGATCGAGCATGATCTTGCTCGAACGGGTGAATATACTGCACGGGAAGGGCGAAAATTTACGCAGTCCCGAGCTGTAAACAAGCTGCGTAAGCGCGGACGTGGAGATATTTACGCCGACAGCAAGAGAGAGAATTGCGCGGAGATCGGCAGCGATACATAGTAATGGAAAATTGTCGCCAATCATCGAAGGATACGATCTCTGGTGGAGAACGGACTTTCGACTTGACTGGGCGCTCTTATTCATTCTCTCTCCTCCTCTTGTATTTTCGTGGTTCATTTGGCGAAAGTAGGGGCAGTGCCGTTGCCGGACACACAATGGACCCCGAAGTCGATCGACCGGAAGGCTTTGGCGTTACTTCGGGTGTTACAACTATGTAGGAACTGTACGCGTGTCTGTGTGGGGTGGAATTCTTGAAATTTCAGCAGGTCAGGTTCACGTGATTAATGGATTCTTCACGCTGATTTGGCATGTTTACGGATTATTGGACCAATGCCGAAACGATCGATTTGAAAAACTGCCTCTGTAAGGCGAATAGATTGCACCTAATGTTCATCAAAAATTGTCTATTCGTAACGGTAGACGCAATTTCAAAGTGACACATTATTTATGTTTTGGTACTTCTGGTTTTAATAATACGCTTGTACACAAATGACATCTTTAGTTTTATTTTAATAGGTAAATGAAATACTTACTGTTGTGTCAACTGAAATTGGTATTAGTCTATTTACTAAAAAAATCTGAATAGAAACTTAAATCAAAACAAACAAAGCGTTGATAAAGTTGTAATTCATTACATTAGGCTACCAAAAAGGCTCATATAGTCTTTTTTTCAAATACAAATAGACCAACGCCAAGAAAACTTATATCTAATTACGACCCGAAAAGTAGGAATTGAAACAACTACTAAAGTTGACTAAATCCTGTTCTTTATTCATGATATAACAAAAGAAATGAAACAAAATAACAAACTTACGAGCTAATCACACGTGAATTCACGTACACACCCGTACAAAACCGAAATGTCAAATCTGGCACGCGTCAGCTTCCCTTGGTCTGTAAACCGCAAAACCCACCGCAACATGGAAATTCGCGACAATCAAAGAGGTCTCCCTCTCACCCTCTGGGTTAATATTTACCGAGAGAAGAGCAAACGAGACAGAGATCGGGATAGGCTCGTCTCGGTCTCGTGTGCGTACATCTGCCTCTACCCACATGTAAATCTAATCACGGCCACCCCAACATGCCTCGCGCCACCGCACCACTACTGCGCAACTTGGTCGTCCCTTCGTCTCTCTCCTTCACCCTCTCCCCCTCCTCTCGTAGTCTGTAACTAAACTAACGCAATCGAGTTAGACGCTCGCTCGCTCGTTCTTGGCTCACACGTGTGCACATACGTACGTATACGTTGATTGTTGTGCGGGTCGGAGCTCCTCGTCAAAGTATTATACATATTCTTCCTCCGCTCTGTTCTTTCATTTTGAAAATAAGAATCATTACGTCCTGAACAATTGGGTCTTCGCATTTTTCTGCTACGCTATTGTTATTTAACAATTATTTCTCACAAGAATATATGTTTTTGGCTCTCATGTATTATTTTAAGGAACAACAGTTGAAAAAACTCTGCTTTTTTCAGTCCGTGACTCAAAAGTATGCACTTGTAGGAGAATACTCTTTCAAAGCAAATAATCCTGACTATCTAAACATTGCACTAACGTCTCCATACATCTTGTATAGCGTAAGCGTACGACAACAGAAAGTAGTTGCTAAGGTGGATGTCCCGTTACTCGCTCACTTACACAGACGGAACGTCCCAATATTCACTCACTTTTTCTCTTTTGTAAGCCTTTGTTATATTTTCAATTGGATATACACGTAAATTTTTATTGAAAAATTAATCTTTTAGTGTCTGAATAACTACCCGTTTTATCTATGTTTTGAAAATTTATATTGGATATATCAGCCAAATGATCGACAATTGGGATATCACCGAGTACTGGGACATCGATCTTAAATCCGGTGTATAATGTAATTGCACTCATGGATCACACATTGAGTCAAATGTTTCGAAATAAATACTTTTGGGGCAAACCTTAGAATTAGACACGTTGGTGGAAACTCAATCAGGTAGCATTTTCTAGTTTTTTTATCACCTAAATTGAGAAACCTCTTACGACTTTGATAAATGAAAAGAGTCTAGGTGTAGTACGTAGAATGAATAAGCTCCAACCTGTGGCCTAAGGGCAGCTTTATCAAATAGCCACAACGAAAGATGACTAAACGTCCATACATCACCACCCCAACAGGTCAAACCGTTCCGTCAATCTTGGGTATCCCGAAAAATCAAAACGTGA